TTTATAAATGCATATACTTAAATATTGCATATTTAAGATTTTAAAGTTTTATTTTGATATTAATTTTGTTATATTTACTTAATATTTAATATATTTTCCCCTGAGCTAAATATTCTCAGGAATATAGGATATGAATAAGATATAAGTTTGACTATGGTTCTATAGCGTAATGGTTATGAATTGGGCTGCTAACCTCAAGGTTGGCAGTTCGAAACTACTAACAGTTCCATGGGAGAAAGATGAGGCTTTCTGCTTCTAAAGGTTTGTAGCCTCGGAAACCCTGTGCAGGGTTGTTATGAGTCGGAACCAACTCCATGGTACTTAACAACAACAACAACAACAATGATTCTATGATCTGACTAATAGTATTTGGTCTATATATTTCTTTTTTAGAATGTATATTGTGGTTTGGGTGAAACTTTTATCGTTGTTGTTGTTAAGTGCCATCGAGCTGGTTCCAACCTATAGAGACCTTGTATAGAGTTTCTGAAGAGTAGCTGGTGGGTTTGAACCACTGACCTACTGGTTCAAACCAACCTTGTGGTCCAGTGCTTATCCTCCAGTTCCACACCATGACTCCAAAACTTATATGTTGTCAGGTGCCATCGAGTCGGAACCGACTCAAAGTGACCCCATGCACAGCAGAACGAAACATTGTTCGATCCTGGGCCAACCTCACTACCGCTGCCACACTTGAGTCCATCAATGATGCCACCTGGCTGATCCATCTCGTTGGGAGCCTTCCTCTTTTTCTCTGACCCTCCACCCTACCCAGCATGACATCCTTCTCCAACAACTGTTTCCTCCGGACAATATGTCCAAAGTAGGAGAGACGAAGCTTAGCCATCCTGGCCTCCAAGGAGCACTCTGGCTGCACTTCTTCCAAAACAGATCTATTGGTTCTTTTGGCAGTCCATGGCACTTTCAGTATTCTCCTCCAAAACCACAACTCAAAGGCAGCAATTCTTCTACGATCCTCCTTATTCACTGTCCAGCTTTCGCATCCATATGAGGCTATTGAAAACACAATGGCCTGGGTCAGGCGCACCCTAGTCCTCAAGCTGACATCTCTGCTCTTCAACACTTTAAAAAGTTCCTGTGCAGCAGATTTGCCCAGTGCAATACGTCGTCTGATCTCTTGACTGCTACTTCCGCAAGTGTTGATAGTTGATCCAAGAAGAATGAAGTCCTTGACAACTTCAATCTTTTCTCCATTGATAAGAATGTTGTTTATTGGTCCAGTAGTGAGGATTTTTGTTTTCTTGACATTGAGATGTAATCCATATTGAAGGCTGTGCTCTTTAATCTTCATAAGTAAATGTTTCAAGTCCTCTTCACTTTCAGCGATCAAGGTTGTGTCATCTGCATATCGCAGGTTGTTAATGAGTCTTCCTCCAATCCTGATGCCACGTTTTTCTTCATAGAACCCAGCCTCTCGTATTATTTGCTCAGCATACAGGTTGAATAAGTATGGTGAAAGAATACAACCCTGTCTCACACCTTTCCCAATTTTAAAACATTCAGTGTTCCCATGTTCTGTTTGAACAACTGCTTCTTGGTCTAGGTACAGATTTCTCAGAAGTACAATTAAGTGTTCTGGAATACTCATACTTCTCAATGTTGTCCATAGCTTGTCATGATCCACACAATCGAAAGCCTTTGCGTAGTCCATAAAACACAGGTAAACATCCTTCTGATATTCTCTGCTTTCAGCCAAGATCCATCGGACATCAGCAATGATATCTCTCGTTCCATGGCCAAAACTTATATAGAATAAATTAATTTCTCATTCAGTAATTCATGCACATTTTATTTTGTGACATTAGTTGCAGTCTCCTCTTAATAATACTCTTCTACTTCCTCCTTGACTTCCCTATTTCAATTCACCCATCATCCCTTTCCCTTCCTGCCTTCTGAACTTTGTTTTTGAGCATATGCTACTGTTTGGTCTGCTATGGGTGATTGTTCTTAGAAGCACATCCTCATGGGTGTTAAGTGTTCACTTTATAGTCCTGTCTGTTTTTGGTTGGAAAGTGATCTCTGGGAGTGGGTTCGGTTCCAGAACTGAAGGGTGTCAAGTTTTGGGGGTTCTGCCAGTCTCTATCAAACCAATATGTCTGTTCTTTTGTATAATTTTAGATTTTTTCTGTTTCTCCCACTCTGTCCTGAACCTTCTATTGTGATCCCAGTTAGAGCAATCAGTAACAGTAGTGGTTGTTGTTATTTAAGTGCTCTCGATTTGGCTACAACCCATAGCAAACCTGTATAGGGTTTCCAAGGAGCAGCTGGTGAACTTGAACCACCGACCTTGAAGTTCAAATGACTTTTCAGTCTGACACATTAACCTACAGCACCACACCAGGACTCTATAATAGTAGTGGGATACCATCTAGTTCTGGTCTCAGGCTGATGGAGGTTGTGGTTCATGTGGTCCATTAGTCCTGTGAACTAATAGTTTCTCTGAGCTTTTGAATTTCTTTACTCTTTGTTTGTAATGGGAAGAGACCACCAATATAGATGTCAGATGTTTATTTTCTTCCTCAGTTTTGTAATTCATAACCTAGTATTGGGAACATTTCTTATACCCTAAGCAGATAATTTTTCCTGAGGGGAAAAATGGAAGTGGACTATAACCATGTTAAATATACAAATAGGTGTTTTAAGACCCTTACTAGTTCAATGACACATTTTTTTTTACATCTTAATAGTGATTGTTGTTTTTAAGTGCCTTAGTCACATTTTTCAGCCTTCCTAGATAAACATTGGATTGCAAGTTCAGTTTTAACCTTAAGGTCGGTGGTTCAAACTCACCAGTCACTCCTTGGAAACCCTACATAGGGTCACTGTGAGTTGCAGTTGACTCAGTAACACTCAACAACAACAACATATAGCTTTGCAGACCTGGTGTAGTGCTGTAGGATAAGCATTGGATGTAAGGTCATTTGAACCACAAGTTTGGCTTTTCTAATTCACTAGCTGCTTCTCAGAAACCCTGTACAGGGTCACAGTGAATCAGAAATGACCTAAAGGCACTAAACAGCGGCAACATATAGCCTATGTGGACGTGAAAGAAATAATTGGTTTGAAATTACGATTTGTCATGGAATGGATCATTGAAATTATCTGAACCTGTTTACAGATAAGGAAGAGGTATAAAACAGAGTTGTAAAATCAAAGGTCAATAGAGACATTAACAGTGAAGAGGTCCCAGTTTAGCAGTGTAAACCCTGTGATAAATAGCAGATAGCCTGGTGAGGTGTTGCAGGACAATGCGCTGGACTGCAAGGTCAGTTTGAGCCGCAAGGTCTGTGGTTCAAACCCACCAGTTGCTTCTTGGAAACCCTATGTAGGGACGCTATGAGTTGGAACCGACTCAACAACACTTAACAACCAACAAAAAGCCTGAGTTTCGGGGAGACAGAGAATATGAGGAACACTGTGACTATAGTTCTTTCCCATCCAAAGGGAGTAGCTCCTTGTCATCTTTACTCTGTTACTGCAGTAGAAGAAATATGAGCCCAGTTTTGCCCTGTATTTCATTTTTCAGAGAATCAAGAATTATAAATAAATTACAAGTGTGTGTGTGTGTATATATATATATGAAAAATATGAATATTAAACTAATATTAGTAATTCAGTTTTTTACATTGTATATACCAAACAAAATACTTGCTTGGGCAGATTAGATACACATGAGTGAAACAGTGAAAAGGAAAAGAAATTTGGTTAATTTATATGCATCTGCTTTATTTATTATACATTGTAAACATGATGGGATTAGTTATCCCATAGATTTTGTTATTTCTCTTCTAAGTACAGATTAGAAGCATGAAAGCAAAAATCTGTTTCCTACTTCTTATATATTACCCAACACCTTGAGTTGCTTAGGACCATAGTCACAGGGGATACCATAGTCAATTGACATGACTTAGTCCACAAGGCGATGTTCTACATCCTACTTTTGTGAGTGTAAATGGGATCTTAAAAGCTCATGAGCGACCACATAAGGTGCAGCTATTGGTCTCTTCCTTTGCATAGGAAAGAAAAGTGATGTAAATTGAAGATGCTTGGAATCAATTAGTCCAGTGGACTAATGGAACACGTGAACATCAATTTTCACAACCCTGAGATCAGAAGAACTAGATGGTGCTGGGATACTATTACCAATTGTTTTAAAAGGGATCACATTAGAAGGACCTGGATAGTGTGGGAGACAGTGGGAACAATAAAATAGAGATCAGGTTAACTGGTCAGAAAGAGACTGGAAGAACCCGAGAGTGTGACCCTTGGTCACCCTTCAGGTCTGGAATTGAACTCGTCCATGTGGCTCAGTTTTCAGCTAATCAGTAGATAGATATATAGGGGGGGACAACACTAGTGAGGTATGCACACTATGGAATGTTCAACCATTCAAGATCCAAATGGCAGCATTTACCTAAGAAAATTCAGAAGGTTGGGAAACAAGGTGGAATGGATACAAGAATCACAAGGAGAAAGTGGGGTAATTGATGTTACATGGAGGGAATTACAGCCATTGAAATGAAACCAAGTATATGATGTATTAGAGTCCTATAGTGGCACTGTAGGATCAGCACTGGACTGCTAACCACATGATTGGTGGTTCAGATGTACCATCCTGCTCCTTGGAAACCTTGTACCTTGTACAGAATTGACATGATGGCATTTAACAACATATGATTTGTTGAATGTAAAAATAATGGTCTGCTCTGTAAGCCTTCACTCAAATTACAGTAAAAACTTAAAAAAATAAGCAAAAAAACACCCAGTTTTCTCACTAGAAGTTGTGGTTATGGTTGTTGTTAAATACTGTTGAGTTGATTCTGACTCATAAGGACTCTGTATAATGTTTCCAAGGAGCAGCTCGTGGATTTGAACCACCTACCTTGCAGCTACAACAAAGTTCTAAGACAAGTGTCATCTGTACTTCAACTCATATCACTGTAAGATTAGGTCTTAAGCAATTTTTAATTATGTTTTAGATTGTTAGAGACGGATAGCAAGTCGTTAAGATCTGTAAATGGATCAAGAAGAAACAGTGGCTCCTCTCTTGTATCAAGTTCATCAGCCTCCAGCAACCTCAGCCATCTTGAAGAAGATTCCTGGATTCTTTGGGGAAGAATTGTTAATGAATGGGAAGATGTACGCAAAAAGAAGGAAAAGCAAGTTAAGGTACTCATGTTCTTTTTGAATTGGGGAAAAAAATCAGATTCTATAATTTCCAAGGTATATGATAAGAAGATCTGCTTTATATGTTTTCATTTATTCATGCCTATAGAAGCCTTGATTGATAAGCTCCTATAGACGCATTGCTGTTGAGTCATTTTTGACTCATAGGTACTGTGTAGGACAGAGTAGAACTGGCCCATGGGGGTTCCAAGGCTGTAATCTTGACAGAAGCAGACTGCCACAGCTTTCTCCTGTGTAGAGGCTAGTGGGTTTCAACCACTGACCTTTCAATATTCATCTTAACCATCACACCATGAGGGCTCTGCACCACTTTTATAGAAATCTTAATGTTTAAATACATAGCTGAAAATTGTTTTAGAAACTAGTTAAGTTCCCTCATTTTATAGATTCAGAATGAAGCTGTGATATCCTTGAATATATTTTCCTTTTTGTTTCAATTGTCCTTCGAAAGGTGATAGGTGCTGTGTCATCATTCACAACTTTGCAGATTATTAAGTCCCTTATGCCTTTGGAGAGCACCACCTGACTGAAATGACCAGAAATTATCCCTGACTTTTTGCAGCCTCCCTGATCAGAGCAGGATAAATCCAAGACCTGATCTTAGTTTTGCTTAAGAGGTTCTTTACTCTTGTTGTAAATATGTAATACTTGCATTGTGAATCATAAATTTGATCAAGTCTTCCATTCCCTCCAACGTCTGGTAAGGCTTTTATGGTAACAGACTTTAATAATTTATAAAAATTTTTACTTTTATTTTTATTTTTAGGAACTTGTTCGTAAAGGGATACCCCACCACTTTAGAGCTATTGTGTGGCAACTTTTATGCAGTGCACAAAGTATGCCAATTAAGGATCAGTATTCAGAACTCTTGAAAATGACCTCACCTTGTGAAAAATTAATCCGAAGGGACATCGCTAGAACTTATCCGGAACATAACTTTTTTAAGGAAAAAGATAGCCTTGGACAGGAAGTTTTATTTAATGTAATGAAGGTAATTTCTATTTATTTGTTTTTTCAAATGAAGTAAATTTTTGAAAGGTTGAAATTATACATTTCCCATTACAAAGCATTCCTACCCCAGAAAATACATTACTTTGACCTTAAATTTGTATTTATCATAATTTCTCCTTTTTAGTTTTACATATATAACTTTAAGAAAAATTAAAAGTTCTGATGCTACATTATTGTCTAGTTTGGCGAACTTGTTATTCTCCACATTATTTAGCATGTGTTGACTGGTATAAGATAAATTATAAATCATTATACCATAGAGAGATTCTCTATGAAAAAGAGTAATTTATCTTCTTGGAGACAAGATTCAAAATCTATAATACAATCTTTTCATGTTATGCTAGTATTTGCATAGTTAGCACATTTTGTTGGATGGTATGGCCAGCTTTCTTAAAATATAATAGCCTCTAAAAGTACGTACCATTTTCCCTTCCACATTGTCTTTTCCGTTAATTTCTTTCCCTTCCAGCTATCTTTGAAATACTGATTTATTGATAAAGCATTTCAATTTTGTCAGTGCTTTACCTGAATTCTACACTAGTTTTATCTTTATAAATTTTACTTGATTTTTAAGTTCTATTAATTTCCTATGTCCAAATTCCTTTTTTTTTCTTTTAGAGCAGACAATTTTCAATTGTGAAATTGTGAAAAGAAAATTTTAGTAATAAAGCATTTGCTTTTAAAGTGCATACAAAATTTATAGAACAAGTTTTTATTGTGAATTATGTGGGTTTACATTGGAGAACATCAGTTTTACATTCATCCCATCATATTTTGTTTTATTGCTATGATTATAATCCTCTCCATGCATTATCAAACAAAAAGGGTATACCCGCAAGCCTGTCCCCTTCCCCCCACCCCCCGGCTATTAGTACATAGTCCCTCTCCCTCTCTGAGTCTAGTGTCCCCAGCCGCTCCATCTGTCTACATCATCGTCTCTGCCTCCATTTCTGGCATCACTGCCTCTCTGGGTAGGGTCCCACACTCCGCTCTTCTCACTTGATGGTCCCAGGGACCTCCGCTCTTAGACTGCAAAATCAATCACTCCCCCCTCCTTTTGTCACAAAACATCTACCTGACCCGCACAGTCAATCCTGATAGCAATTATTCACTATTGTACCACAAGAGTTTTATCCCCATCTTCTTTTATTAGCCCCATCCCAACAGACTGGAAAACCATTCAGTGGAGATTCTACCTTCCCCCACCCCGTCGGGAACTAGGCTCCCTCTTGAAAGCTTGTAAGCCAGTCACTTCTTGCCTTTGTAGCCCCCCTTCCCCTATTTTGGGTAGACAATGTCTAAGTTGCCTATTCCTGTTAACCCTGTGTACTGAGGGGGTGGGAATGACCCTCTCACTGTAAAGATTTGTTTCCTTTTTTGAGCTACTACAACCATAAGTATAGGTGAAGTTCATCAGATTAAAAAGGAATGGTCTTTTAATTCACCTGTTTCATCAGTATTAGCTTTTTAGAAAAGAAAGGTATAGTATACTATGTCAGAGTATTTTGAACAACTTTTTTTTTTTTTTTTATCTTTTTTGTTGTTTTAGGCGTATTCTTTAGTGGATCGTGAGGTTGGTTATTGTCAAGGAAGTGCTTTTATAGTTGGATTATTACTTATGCAGGTAAGTTAATGCAAGTATTGCATGTCCAGTTAAATGCTTGGTTAGATTGGAGAATTTTAAAACCACACATCTTCTTCTAAGTATAACTGGATGGGGTTAGTTTTCCCTAGGTACAATTTCAGTAGTCATTTACAGAGTGCATTTTAAACATGTAAAAGTGCTGAAAGAATATGCAATAATACTTTTCCCACCAAATGAAATATATACTTCTTGGTGCATACATTTGGCGTGTAATATTCTGATAAAGGCTGCATTTGCTTTTAAAATCTTATCAGCATTTAATGAGGACCATCTTTTCCCTTGATGAGATGGATTGACACAGTAGTTGCAAGAGTAATCTTAAACATCAGAGCAATTGTGAGGATGGTGCATTTCTGAGCAATGTTTCATTCTGCTGTGAGTCACAACTGAGTCAGTGGTACCTAGCAACAACAATGGAAACAATCTTTTCCCAATCAAGAAGACTTGATTAAAGTATCAGTGTAAAAATCTTATTTAAAATATAGGAATCTTATTTATATTTTAGTTATCATGGAACAGAGAGCTCATTATCTATACTGTTACAGTCTTTCAAATAGTGGTATTCAATCACCTCCCCCCCCCCCCATTTGAGAATATTTACCAAAATAATCATGGTAGATACCTTAGTGCATCCTGTTGATCTGGTCTTCTCTGTTGCCAGCATCTCCACCTTCTACAAAATGGGTGGTCTCTCAATCACTTTTAATGCCCCAAGGATATAACATCTTTGGATGGGGTGTTTTCAGAATTGAGGGCAGGACAATCGTATCTCTGAAATAAAATGACATATATATAGCATTATCCCTTCAGCCCTGTTGAAACTTTTTTTAAAAGTCTACCATAGTCTTTATTTATTCTCCAGATGTTTGTCCTGAAAAGTAATTATGGAGATATTTGATTTGAGTCATATAGGCTTGATTTTGCCTTTCAGTTCTGCACTAGCTCTATGAACTTGGGCTAGATTATATAACATCTTTCTGAACCTCAGAAAGTACTGTCTACTTTTCAGGAGCCATGGTGGTGCAATTGTTAAGTGTTCTGCTGCTATCCTAAAGGTTGGAGGTTTAAACTCACCACCTGCTCTATGGGAGAAAAGATTTGACAATCTGCTCTCATAAAAATTACAACCTAGGAAACCCTATACAGGGTTGCTATGAGTCAGAACCAGCTTGATGGCACATAACAACAGCAACAACAGAAAACCCTGTAGAACAGTTCTACTTTGTCATATAGTGTCACAGTGAGTTGGATCAACTTGATTATGCAAAACAAAACATCTACTTTTCAGATTTATTGTGAGAGTTACATTAGATTGTTGTTGGTAAGTGCCATTGAGTCGATTTTGACTCATAGTGGTATATGTGAAAAAATCTAAATGTGTTTGCCACAAAGTTCAGGACTTCCCAGGAGCACTTATATCTTGGTAAATGAAAGCAGAATCAAAAGTGGATGCTTTTGCTTAAATTTCCTAGCAGCTTTACTTGAATTTTAAAACTTTGTAATTGTCAGAAATATACACACCTCTTTTCTGAAGTATCAGTAAACCTGAAGTATCAATAAACCTGTTATCAGACATATAGTGGCATATTTACTTTATGTTATAAGAACTGTTGCTAGTAGTGGTTGTAACACTATACACATGGACCTCATCAGATGAAATAGACTGAAATCAAATTGATTATATCTGTGGAAAGAGACCGTGGAAAAACTCCATATCATCAGCCAAAACAAGGCCAGGGGCAGCCTGTGGAACAGACCATCAATTGCTCATATGCAAGTTCAGGCTGAGGCTGAAGAAAAAACTAGTACATGAAAGACAAAATAGGACCTTGAACATATCCCCCTGAATTTAGAGATCATCTGAAGAACAGATTTAATGCATTAGACACTAAAGACCAAAGACCAGAAGAGTTGTGGGATGACATCAAGAACATCATATAGAAAGAAAGCAAAGATCATTAAAAAGACAGAAAGAAAGAAAAGACAAAATGGATATAATGAATGTCAGAAAAGAACCTTGAAATTTGCTCTCTAGTGTAGAAATACTAAAGCAAAAGGAAGAAATGAAGTAAAAGAGCTGAACATAAAATTTCAAAGGGTAGCTCAAGAAGACAAAGTTAGGTATTGTAACGAATTGTGCAAAGTCCTGAAGTTAGAAAACCAAAAGGGAAGAACTCTTGAGCATTTTTCAAGTTGAGAGAACTGAAGATCAATTATAGCCTTGCAATATTGAAGGATTCTATGGACAAAATATTGAATGATACAGAAAAGTATCAAAGAAGATTGAAAGAATACACTCAGTCACTGTACCAAAACAAAATGGTTGATGTTCAGCTATTTCAAGAGATGTAGTATACAATCAAAAGCCAGTGGTACTGAAGGAAGCAGTCCAAGGTTCACTGAAGGAAGGCACTGGCAAAGAACAAAGTTCTGGGAATTGATAGAATACAAATTGAAATCTTTCAACAACTTATGTGGCACTGGAGACACTCACTCATCTATGCCAAGAAATTTGGAAAATAGCTACCTAGCCAAATGATTGGAAGGGATCCATATTTGTGCCCATTCCAAAGAGGTGACTCAATGGAATGTGGATATCATCAGACAATATCATTAATATTACATGCAAGTAAAATTTTTCTAAAGATAATTCAAAAAGGGCTGCAACAGTACCTTGACAGGAAACTGCCTGAGGTTCCAACCAGATTCAGAGGAGAATGTGGAATGAGAGAAATCATTGCTGTTATCAGATGAATCCTGGCTGAAAGCAGAGAATACCAGAAATACGCTTATTTGTGCTTTATTGACTATGCAGGGGCTTTCAACTGTGTGGATCATGACAAGTTATGGATAACATTGCAAAGAATATATATTCCATAAAATTTAAATGTGCTCATGAGGAACTTGTACATAAACCAAGAGGCAGTTGTTCGAACGGAACAAGGGGACATTGAATGGTTTAAAGTCATGAAAGGTGGGCATCAGGGTTGTATCCTTTCACCATACTTATTCATTCTGTATGCTGAGCAAATAATTTGACAAGCTGGGTTGTGTGCCATCAGGATTGGTGGAAGACTCATTAACAACCTGCAATATGCAGATGATATTACTTTTTGCTTACTGAAAGCAAAGAGAAAAACTACTTACTGATAAAGATCAAAGACCACAGCCTTTGGTATGGATTGTACATCAATGTAATGAAAACAAAAAGCATGACCATTGGAGCAATAATCAACATCCATATAAAAAGGTTCAAGTTGTCTGAGACTTCATTTTGCATGGATCCACTACCAACACTCAAGAAAGTAGCAGTCAAGAAATTGAAGGACATATTGCATTAAGCACATCTGCAGCACTAGACATCTTTAAAGTGTTCAAGAGCAAAGATGCCAGTTTGAGGACTAAGGTGCTCCTGATACACATCGTGTTATTTTCAGTAGTTTCATATGCATGTGGAAGTTGGACAATGAATAAAGAAGACTATATGGAAGAATTGATACATTTGAGTTATGATATTAGAAGAGAATGTTAAAAGTATCATGGACTGCTAGAAGAACAAACAAGTCTATATTGGGAGAAGTACAGCCATATACTTTGGACACATTGTCCAGAGAGAACAGTCGCTGGAGAAGGATGTCATGCTGGGTAGGGTGGAGGGTCAGAGAAAAAGAGGAAGACCCCCAACGAGATGGATCAGCCAGGTGGCATCATTGATGGTGTCAAGTGTGGCGGTGGTAGTGAGGTTGGCCCAGGATCGGACATTGTTTCGTTCTGCTGGGCATGGGGTCACTATGAGTCGGTTCTGACTCGATGGCACCTGATAACAACAACAGCCAGAGTACTTCTTAGAAGCCAGGATGGCGAGACTTCGTCTATCATGCTTCAGACATTATAGGGAGAACCTGTGTCTAGAGAAGGATATCGTGCTCAGTAAAGTGGAGCGTTAATGAAAAAGAGGAAGACCCCCAAGGAGACGGATTGGCACGGTGTCAGCAGCTATTGGGCTGTAGTGTAACAGCAATTGTGAGGATGGCATTGTTTTGTTCTGTTGTCTGCTTAACAACAACAACAACAACAACAACAACAACAACAACGGTAGTCTCTATGCAAAATTGTGAATGAGTGTTGGCAGGAAGGATAGAAGTGGGGGTTTTGTCAAGAGTAATTCTTTACTTAATCTGGCTTTGTCAAGGCCAGTAGGGAAAGGGTATTCTCATCAAAGTAGTCTTAAGTAATAGTAGTGCCTAGAGATCTTTCTGGGTTCCTCTTTTAAAACACACTGGTATAATGTGAATGAATGAATATTAGAAAATTTTATTGTTTGAGAAACATGGCTTAACAATTGCATGAATGTTCTTTGCCTAAATATTCTGAATATCTGAGTAACACTTCACAAGGAACATTTATATTCATTTTCTTTTTTGGTATAATTTCCTGAGTTACTCATAAAATTTGACAGATTCTTTGAATACATACAAGTTGTTTTAGCATTAATGCCATATTATACTACTCTGGACTCCTGGTGTGGCTCTGCAGGATTTGAACTGGACTGCGAACCACAAGGTCAGCAGTTCAGTTTTCCTTGGATACCCGATATAAAGTCTCTGTGTGTCAGAACTGATTCGACAGCGCTTTACAACAACATTACTTTTCTTTTTAGAACCTCAAAAGACTTCTCCTCTCACTTAAAATAAAGGTCAGAATCTTTATAGTGAGTTCTATGCAATTTGTTGTCGGGGACCCGCCTTGACATTGGGGTTCACTTCACGAGGAGAGGATACCTGACGGCAATTCATATATATCAAGAATACACAGAAAGAGACAAAGAGACAACGAGGCACCCCAAAGCCAGGGTGGATACATCACTGGTGGGCAGGCCTGGGAGTACAGGCATCGTGGCCTCTGCAGGCAGCAACTCACTGCCCTGCAATCTTTACCGCATGCCTTCCAGCCAGTAATGC